GAAGTAATAAAATGCACTTTCCATTATTAACCTCATTCTCCATCTTTCTTTCCTATATCGCGTGAAGACCTGCATTGTATGAACGATAACACTGAAACTAATGATAGTAGTAGAGAAACTATATATTTTTTGATTCACCAAGTAAGCAACTTGTCAATTGTAGAATTCTGATGCATGCTCGAAGTGGTACACTTATAAAATAATTGTTAAAATTAAAATTCAAACCACCTGTACGAAGATCACACGCACATAAAAATGAATTAAGAATATCAGTACAAATTTCCAATAAAATCACATGTTCAAATAAATCAAACCAAATGCGCAGACAAAAAAAAAAAAATTATAGCAAAAAATAGTAATTGCTACATTTGTTAAGTAATCTTCCATCTATCACTAAGAAGTTGAAAATCTGAAGTAAAGTATAAGAAGTTTCTGCCATCGCCTATGCCCCATTCTCGTCCACAAGCACATTCTAGTGATAAGTTGCCTCCATAGTTGCATAAGCAAGTGCAATCTTTGATGCACACATCTCATTAGATTCCATTATCATATTTGTGGAAGTGATGAGCTGTGGATTAAAAGTACCTAATACACCCCAAATTTAAAGCTAGACTGATTTGGGACCCAGGGAGCCTTCCAAATTTTAAATGAGGTCCCATCTCCAACATGGAACTTTACCCCCTAACTTCAAAGACACTATCTCCTAGCCAGTTCTTCCAAAGCCAAGAATCACTATGCCTAGCCTTAACCTTTCTAAAAAAATTTACCTTTCAAGACCCTACTGATCCACAAATTAGGTTTAGTAATGAGAGACTCACTAATTAAAAGCCCTAAAGTTATTAAAACCTAATCCCCCACTCTCCTTAGACCTAGCCAACAAATCCCAACTACATTGTATTCTATTCTTTTCTGCCCCACCAGAATCTTGCCACTTACTTACAAATATTAGAGCAATTAGACACATGTAATCTAAAGCAAGACATGACATAAGTTGGTAAAGCATCCAACACATATTTGATCATAACCTTTCTCTCTGCTTCACTCAAAAAATAATTTTTTCAGTTGTAACTCTCTAATCACATACTCAATTACAAAATAAAAAATTCCTCTTTTAGATCTACCTAGCTCCAAAGGGAGACCTATGTATTTGAAAGAATTTACCCTAGCAATTTCATTCAACACCCTACAAATTTTATCATTTGGTTCCATTCCCAGTACTTTTAGAAAAGAAGATTTATGACTTATCAAGATTCACCAGTTATTCACCACAACACTGGTCGCGTACTTCATTGGATTGAGTTCTTCCACTATCGAGTCAAGTTCTGTAGCCATCCATATGATTCTCCCGAACTTTGAGGTACTGAAAATGAAGTCAATAAGCAAGATTCAAAATCCCTCCTCCTTTCTCCCTCTACCAGCAGTAGGGACCAGCTACCAGAGCAAGCAAACCTCTATAAGAAGCCCCATAATCATCTAATATATTCATGATTAATCTGGCATGATGCAAATCAGCCCTGCAGAAAAGAATTGAACCATATGCAAAGAATAAATGGGATATAATAGAAGAATTTCTAGCAATTTAATCCCTTTCAAAGACTGGTTAAGACATGCCTGATTCACTAAATTAGGAAAAGCCTCATAAATCAAAATAAATTCATGTTTTTTTTTTTTTGTTTTTTTTTTAATCGAAATGGTAGAAAATTCTTTCACTAAACACATAATTACAACTGGCTCACTAGCTAGCCGGAATAAGTGGACTACCCAAGGTAGCCTAGATATCACAACGCACGAACAAGAAAAATAAAAGGTCCCCACAGAGAAATACACAAACTATTCAGAGAATAACACGAACTCCCCAGAGGAGAATAAATAGGCTCCTCCAAAAAATGAGAAATAAAAAAACACAAACCACGAACCAACCACATGAACACAAACTCAACAAACCTAAACAAAATTAACAACAGAACAACTAAAGCCCTCCCCAACCGCTGAAGACAACCAAGCCACGCGCACGATCGGACCAATAAGAGAAAAAGAAACCCGACTCAAACCAGATCTAGAAACTACAATCTACGAATGAGGCCAATAACACTTATCACAAGGATTGAACATAAACGAGCAAGCTTAAGCATACACACTAGACTAGAGGTCCATCCCCGATACTTTTACAAACACGGGCTCAGACATAGACAAGCGCATACATCAGTCAAAAAACCCATAAGACGATACAATTACGAACACATCTACCTTATTTGAATTATGATGAGATAGTCTATCTCCTTCAGAATTCTAGTTTATCTGTTTAGACTAGATGGTGATCGATCAACTAATCAATTTCATTAAAAAATTCGAATAGACAAGAACATCACACATTCACCACGTATTCAAGAAGAGAATCAAAACTCCTAGCCCTAGGTGGAAGAATTAACTCATCCTTAGACTCAAATTTATGTCAATCAAACAAAAGAAAATCTTATTCAATCAACAACAATAAACAAGAATTAAAAACTTATAATCATTAGAAGATGCAAGAATTCAATCCCAATCCAAAAAGCTCTAAAATCTAAGCATAAGCATAAGAAAAATGGAGAAGCTTTACAAGTGGTTTTGTGGTGTTTTTTGGGAGCCTTTTTCAAGGCTCCCGGTTTGTTTTTCATGTCCAAAAGATCCCCCAATCAAAATGCATGAGTCGCCATAAGTAAAGGTTCAAAACGAGGCCAAAAATCTTGTCCACATACATTTTCACAACTTTTGTGGTCGCTCCGCGAAGGCCCTCACAGTCGATCCCGTAGAAAACAAACTATGTGCTAGCTTTCTCAATGATCATTGTGTGATGGTAGCTCTTTTTGATATATATGTAAAATTGGTTAAAATTACAAAAGTTATTTATTTTTAAAATACATTTACAGTTCAATAGTTATAACAAAAAATGATATTAGAATGCAATTAATACATCTAAAATGATCATAAATAATAAACATATTTATGAATAATCCTTACCTAATTATTTTAGGATTTGAAGTAAATTAAAATATATCCACTCTAAATAATGAAACTTGAACTTTTGCCACACAAGATCCAAAACTTGCGAATCTGCCACTTAGGCTCAGCACATTCGATAATTAAAACTGAGTAATAATTTCTAAAAAACTGATTCTGTTAATTAAAATAAAAAATCGTTATATTTTATATTAGTTGAGTAATAATTATATTTTTTTTATTGAATCATATAATAACTATTTCAATGTAATTTTATAGATATTCTAAAAATATTTAAATAATTCATTTACCATGGTGTTCATCAAAATTTATTTTATTTTATTTCAACTCTCTAAAATATATTAGAAAGATCATGTAATATTCTATAATCATGGTTGGATTGAAAAGATATAATATACAAGTGGCTATATATGTCAATTTATTTTTGTAAAATTATAGTATTTTTTTTTAATTTAAACTATATAAAAAAGTTATTGTTTACATTAATTATATAAATAAAATAATATATAAAGCTGGTAAGAATTCTTCCATCTTTTGAAAATTAAGTATTTTTTATGTTTTGATTTTGATTTTTTATATAATTTAGTCGAACTTTGTTTGTGTAAATTTAGAAAAAATCGTGTTTCTTTTTGTAAGACTTTAGTTCGAGTTTATTCAAAAATTTTTATTTAAAATTCGTTAAGTTAATGCGCAGAGCTCGAGCTTAGTTAATTAAACTCGAATGAATTTATGTATTTGTAATTAGTTTTTCAATAATAAAAATATGTTTCTCATTTTATTAGTTAGCCACACATAGCCAACCATCTCTTAAACCCAGAAAACCCTATCCCATCAATTTCTCAAACGAAACTCCAGGCCCACTCATATTAAAAACCCTAAAACCCTGTCTCTCAAACCCAAAACCCTATCCCATCAATTTCTCAAACGAACCCCAAGCCCACTCATATTAAAAAACCCTAAAACCCTATATAAATGACAGTAGTTTCTCCTTTTGATTTTAAAGGAACACACCCTCTAAATTTATAATATAAACCCGAACCCCACTCATATTAAAAAAACCTTAAAACTTGTATAAATGACGAGCAGTAGTTTCTTATTTTGGTGTTAAAGGAATACATCTCTTAAATTTATAATATAATTTTAGAAGTGTTTTGTTGTTTTTCTTTTATTTTTCTTTAAGTAAATTAATTTTCTTTTGATAAAGTGTTTACAAATAAATATATAGTTTAATTAGTAATTTAGTAAATACTAGATCCATGTTTTAGTAAATAAAATAATCTTTATATAAACATTGTATATATTTTAATTAACATAAAAAAGAAATAAAGAAAGAAAAAAAATGAGTCAACAAATCTAGAAGTATTTTCATATGTAGAAAGACTTCTAAAATAATTACTTCTCTTTCATGCCACATAAGCACAAATAGAAGTAAAAAGGCATCCCTTCACTGCACTGATCCTTCGCGAGACTGCGCGAGCTAGGGTTTTAACAACTACTAAGGAACGTAGCTACACTTCGCACAAAAAAGATTCACTCTATCTCCGTCCAGAAAGAACGAGCCGAAGCCGCCGAAATACCGTTGGAGAAGATTTTTATGGGACTGCTTCTACAATCCTACAATACACATTCCATTGGAGATGCTCTAAGGGTAATTTCCTCCTAATTAGTGTTCAACATTTTCGCCCCATGGGATTCCTCGTTCATGTCTAAGATCCAACCGTCATCCAAATAATGCACCTTACCCAAGTCATTTCTTTATTATTTTTTTTATTCTCTTAGGCCTCGTTTACTTACCAAGATTGGATGGAATACCGGCTTTAACCAACCTTATCCTGCATTTAATATACATGATTGGGACTAAGATTTAGCCCATGCCACATTTATGTGGCAGGTAGGTCCCACGCGAAGATACATATGTGGCTGAAATTTCAATCCTATCAAATAGGGGAGATATTTTTATGCCACTAATGAAATGACTATTTTCCACTTCTCAGCTGGATTTAGAATGTCAAACCTTTGAAAATGTTGATAATGCTGAGGATTATAACCGAGTAGCCGATCGTGTGGTGGTACAAATTCCAGTAGATTCTGTGCTTGTGCTCCTTTTTCGGCCTTAACAACAGTGCAGTCACCTGTGCCCCATATGCAGAATCTTTTTATTATGATTTCACTAATTTGTTCACTACTTGGGTGTTCAATGAAAATACTATTTTCAACATTATAACACTCTAAAATCTTTTAATTTTTACAAAAAAAATGAATCAGTGGAAAACAGGAATTGGAAGCGTACACTATTATTACCTGTAGAGTTCCAAGGCAAAAGACGACGATGCCGACAATCCTGTGGGCCGTGTATTGGACTCCGGAAGATTGGCTTCCAACCGTAGGCCCGTAGCCCAGCCCACAACCCCAATATTTAATAAAGCACATTAAATTATTATCTTTATATTGGGACCAAGGTGAGATTCCACCTTATTATATCACACCCTAGTGTTGTTTGGTTAATAATGTGAAGTTTTTTTATCCAGCACATTAAATTATTATCTTTGTTTGGTTGAGAATTTATATGGAAGTAATAAAATGCACTTTCCATTATTAACCTCATTCTCCATCTCTTTCCTATATCACATGAAGACTTGGAATGTATGAATGATTACACTGAAACTAGGAGCCTCAGCCACTGTCACACTTAGATCCAAAGCTACTTCCAAAGCAATTTATCTTTGCGAGAAAAATTGGGAGGAGGATCCGAGTCAAGAACAACATATGACTCTGCAATGCCAAGATCCTCCAACACACCAATGATTCACTTCCCAACATTCAAAATCAACCTTAATTATAAGGTCACCAAAAACAGAGCTCACAGGAAGCCGAAGCCGAGAATGGTACGTGGATTTCGTGCACACGCTATAATAGAGACCTCCTATGATGGTAAAGCTTCAATGTATAATCAAATTCAGACATTAGACATTTTTTGAATTCAGTTAGAGTCATCACCTTACCCTTAGGGATAGCACTCAGTATGGGCATAAGCAAGTCATTAATCTGTTTAGCACCTTGAAAATACAGAACTCGATAAGAAGAGATTTTATCGCCATGCTTATAGAATTGAATAAACCAGTAAGAAAAATCCGCGAAGGAACACCAGAAGGCTTTTAAGTATGACATGTCCACACCACCCTTAATTAACTCATGATCAAAGAGTTCCAATTCATCCTTATCAACCACACCTTCAATTTGCTCTCCTTATCAACCACAACCTTCAATTTATCCTCACCACCAAGGTCATCGGCATCAGATTCATGCCTCTCAGATTGTGCACAAAAAAACCAACCATAACCTGATTTCTTTATATCCAACGTGGGTTTTTCTTTCTCTGCTAAGTTGAAAAATAAGCCATCACTAAAACAGAGTTTTCTTCTGAAAGAAGCTTGTCTAACACATTTCAGAGTTACTCACAGATTAACAAAGAGTTTGAAATTTACCAGTTGAGAATATGCCAGGGGACAAAATCGAGTATATGTACCAGCTGAAAGAATATACCAGGGGACAAAAGCGAGAAAGAGCTAACGGATGAAAGAGGGGGGGGCGAGGATTACCTGTGATACTGACGAAATTTTTGCACCGAAGATTCCAATAGCAATAGCAGACACGCATACAGAATGCGGAGGCAAAGCCAGTATGGATGAACGTGCACTCAAGACTCGAGAAGATTTCGACGTACCAGTACCAGAAGCGAAGATACCAATGTCGAAAAGAAGTATTGTTCACGATGAACATGGTATATATACGAGGGATTTAGGGTTTGAGAGGTCCTTATTAGGGTTGGAGGAGCGCTGGGGGAGGCTTAGAGAATTTGCTTGGTTGGGTGGATCTGGGTCGGCTGGGCTACATAAACCGCCTTTTTCCACAAATTCATCAAAACACATTGTTAACATATTATAAAGATACAAATTTAGAAAATTTAAAAAAAAAAAAAAAAATCAATATCAAAACATAAAAAATTTTAGTTTTTAAATCAAAAAGAATTATATTACCAATTAGAGAAGACCAAATCAAGAACAAAATACTTGTTATAATCTAAACTTGAAGAAACATAACGCCACAAATATACCACCAAAGTTCTTCGTTATCATATCCGGAGAACTTCTGGAGGCATATTTCATGGCGGCATATTTCTTCATAGCCGATTCATTTGGACATAGCCGAGAATTTAGACATAGCCAAGAACTTTTTATCTGGAGGCATGGAGGCATATTTTGCTGGAGTAAGAAAAGAGATTCAAGGAAAAGGTCTACTTGTGGCCTTCATTTATTGTCAATTTATACCATAGATAAACCCTAGTCCAAACTATCACCGTAATCTAATTATTTATTGATGTGGTGGTCCCTTTTTGCCTTTTGTTTTACATCTACTTTTCGAATTCTTTTCTTTTTCTTATTTTAAAATGAATCTTTTCAATTATTATTAGGGAAAAAAAAAATTTCCACCCCAATACAAAGATACATTAAGTTTTTCATACTGCCCCACCAACAATCTAACTTTTTCACCCCAGGAAGTGCGAAGGTTATGCGAATGCCTTCGCCCTTTAAATATTGCATATCAATGTCATCGCATAACTGTCGCATATTCATCGCGCAATGGCTTCGTACTTTAACTTTTTCCACTCCAGAAAGTGTGAAGGGATATGCGAATGCCTTCGCACTTTTAACCTTCGCACAATGCCATCGCGCAACTATCGCATATTCATCGCACAATGCCTTTCGCACTTTCTGAAGTGAAAAAGTTAAGTTATCTATGGGTGGTGTGAAAAACTTAATACATTTCAATAGTGGGATGAAAAAGACTATTTTTACTATTATTTATGCGTGATAAAGTATTACACTTTATTTACCGAGTTTTATCATAGTTTTCAAACATGAGAATCGGCCTAATCAGGTTCTGGTCATCGAGTCACCGGTTCAACCGTCGTGTCACCCGGTCAATTACTGAACCGAATAATCAATTCCAAAATTTTTAAAATTATATATAAAATATTTTTGACATATATAAATATACATAAAAGTAACAAAATTAAATATTCTGTATATAAAATTTATATATCAAAATGTTAATAATATTGCATCTCATGATAAATATTTTATATATAAATATATACACGTAGTTTTTATTTTTTAAATAAAAATATTTAAAAAAATAAAAAAATATAGACCGAGTCAACCGAATTGACTTTGTTGGGTTAATTAACCCGGTCGACCAGGTCAAGGCCGAGTTGACTCGGTCTATATTTTTTTTTTTTCAATATTAATTTAAAAACCCAAATTTTTTCATGTTTTGATATTGATTTTTTTTTTTTTAAATTTTCTAAATTTGTATCTTTATAATATGTTAACAATGTGTTTTGATGATTTTGTGGAAAAATGCAATTTATGTTAGCCCAGCCGACCCAGATCCACCCAACCAAGTGAATTCTCCAAGCCTCCCCGAGCCCTCCTCCAACCCTAATAAGGACCTCTCAAACCCTAAATCCCTCATATATATACCATGATCATCGTGAACAGTACTTCTTTCCGCCATTGGTATCTTCGCTTCTGGTACTGGTATGTTGAAATCTTCTCGAATCTTGAGTGCACATTCATCCCTACTGGCTTTGCCTCCGCATGCTGGACGCGGCCTGCTATTGCTATCGGGATCTTCGGTTCGAAAATTTCGTCACGTTTCACGGGTAATCCTCGCCCCCCTCTTTCATCCGTTGGCTCTTTCTCGCTTTTGTCCCCTGGTATATTATCAATTGGTACATACTCGCTTTTGTCCCCTGGTATACCTCAACTGGTAAATTTCGGACTCTTTGTTCATCTGTGAGTAACTCTGAGATTTTAATTTCAAAAGTGTTGGACAAGCTTTTTCCATAAGAAAACTATGTTTTAGTGATGGCTTATTTTCCAACTTATATACTGGAGCAGAGAAAGAAAAATCCACGTTGGATAATAAGAAATCAGGTTATGTCTGGTTTTTTTGTGCACAATCTGAGGCATGAATCTGATGCCGATGACCTTTGTGGTGAGGATAAATTGAAGGTCGTGGTTGATAAGGAGGGTAAATTGAAGGTCGTGGTTGATAAGGATGAATTGGAACTCTTTGAACATGAGTTAATTAAGGGTGATGTGGACATGTCATACTTGAAAGACTTCTGGCCTAACGTGTTCCTTCGCGTAACTGATCTGGATTTTTCTAACTGGTTTATTCAATTCTATAAGCATGGCGATATTCTTATCAATTTTTGTATTTCCAAGGTGCTAAACAGCTTAATGACTTACTTATGCCCATACTGAGAGTTATCCCTAGAGGTAAGGTGATGACTCTAACTGAATTTTAAAAAAAAATGTCTGAAGTTTGATTGTACAGTGAAGCTTTACCATCATAGGGGGTCTCTATTATTGCATGTCCGCGAAATTCACGTACCATTCTCGGCTTCCGGTGAGCTACTCCATACTGTTTCTGGTGACCTTAATTATAAGGTCGATTTTGAAGCTTGTTTCGATTAGTGATGAGAATACAAACGATATCAGGGGGTTTGTTCTGATTAGCCGCGAATAGCTATAGACATAAATATGTTGTAGGCTCAGAGCAGAGTATGATACGAAGTGCAAAAAATGTTACACAAGCATCCCGCAAGCTTGGGAGAGAAAATACAGGCATACCTTAAAAACACGAAAAGCTTCAATCTGTATACTCTTGCTAGATTCCTGCCACAAGGAAAAAAGTTCAACAGTCAATTCACGACAAAAGGAACTACAGAGATGGAGCATCCTTTTTAAATAAAATAACTATACACATTTTCATCTTACTTTTCTATTATTTTTACTAGGATAGAGAACATGGCAAATGAATCAGATATCTCAAGAACAACACAGATTGATATTGTTCGATACAGTTTTTCAAAAAATATCAAGACCATAATCCTTCACCAAGCTTAATTCTCCTCTCAATACATCTCCCATCTATTATGCAAAGTGCAACAAGGAAATGGGATTGAATCTAAAGCCCTTAAAGGTAAGCATACCCGAAGAAGATTCATGAGGATCCTCAAGTAATCCCTTGAGCAAACATATTTAGTCATCACGGGTGAGTTTGAACGGTCGAGCAACTGGAAAAAATAAAAAAATCAAATCAAATCGGCAACTTTCAGTTGCACCAATCTTGAGTACAAATTATTTCTTGCAATTTTTTCTATATTATTTTATAAAAGAATGTTTTGTCCATTGCAAATGAAGCTGGAAGAGTCATTGTTGACAATTCTCCTGGCATAGTGCTAATAATGGACTAGATCAAAATGGCTCAATTAAATTTTAGTGCTTCTTCTATTAGTGAAGTTTCTAGAAAAAAAAAAAAAAAAATCAAACGGCGCAATGCACCTTGGGTCGCTAAGGAAACAGCCTCCTTGTATAATTACAAGGGTAAGGTCTGCGTACAACTGACCCCCAAGACCCTAACTTCTTGTTGGGAATATAATGGGTATGTTGTTGTTGTTGTTTATAAAGGAATGTGAAGTTAGTCCAGCCTCTGAGTGGTCCTCATTCATTTCCCAGCCCAGAAAAGAGAGAACGAATAGGAGTTACCTCGATAGCCTGCCTTCTGGTGATATAATTAGCATATTCAAGCAACTTGGAGTTATACTCTGCAAAGAACTATCAACAAGACGATAACAAGTAAATGATGTACACATGAGAGAGGGCTCGTTGAGGAAACCAAAAATCACCACAATTACTAATTAACAGAAAATAACAATAAAGTGCACGGAGGAGAATATAATGTCCATCTCTGCATGAAATACTTACCCAGTAGTAGTTTTTGGAAAGAAATTCAGCTACTGTTGATTTATGCCGAGTCAAAAGTTCCTGAAAGAAAACACGAATCATGTTAGTGATTGAATGCCTAGACACTATGTACTTCTGCAAGAAGAAGAAAAAAACAGTAAGAAAACACGAATCATGTTAGTGATTGAATGCCTAGACACTATGTACTTCTGCAAGAACAAGAAAAAAAAAAAGTCAACAAAAGAAAGACTCTTTACTATAAGCATATATATAGATAATGCAGCACAATGAAGATCAAGAAACAAACTGAAATAGAAAAGGATTAACCCGGAAAACATACAGAACCTTGAAAGTGGCAGCAGCATCAGAAGCAATGTCAAAATTTGGGAGTTGTATATAATCAAAAAATTTCTTCATGTGCTCTGATTCCAGTACATAGCTACAGACCAAAGCAAAATAAAAAAATTCACACACACAAACATACAGCTTCGATCAGAAAACTCACGCCACTCTTACCTTCGACCACCCCTCACAGAGTCGCCGCGACCGTCGGAGCAGCTCGCCACCGACACTCGCAGCCGCCGAATACGCTGCCGTACAATCGGAGCACGACGACGAAGTCCTCAAAAAACTGAAGCTTCGATCGGAAAACTCACATCTGAAGGGCGGTCGACAATCCCGCCGGAAAACACACACACACAACAATCAGCGACCTGAAGCCTTGGGTCTTGTTTGACCGTGAGAAACCTTGAGGGAGGCCAACTCGCCGGAAACATGATCTGAAAATCAATTTAGGGATTTGGTCTTCTTTTTTGAAAATTTGATAATGTGTAAGGCTCAATAGCAATTTCAAAAAAATTAATTATATCTCAATTTTGCCATTGGGCTAAATCTGAAATTATTAAAGTTAATAAAAAGTATTATTTTTCTATTTACCTATATATAAAATAAAAAATAAAAAATAATAAAATAATATAAAAATAATAATAAATGTGTGACAGATCGCACATTAGTAACTGAAGTAATGCACATTAATGTTAGACATATTGCACATTAATGTGTGTCAGTCCGCACCTTAGTGATCAAATTTGAAATAACTGTTGTATGAATTTATATATTTTAATTATTTATAAAATTTGAGTTATTTGATATCGATAATTTCAACTGAAATAAAGTTATTTCGATAATTTTAAAATTTATATTTTTGATTATTTCGATCAAAATTGAAAGAGTCGAGCTATATGAAAAAAATTATTATTATGATTTAAACATTTTTATGTATTGCGATTGCACATTATAATTATATGGATTGCACATTAATGACTATATGATTGCACAGTATTATAAATCAACCAACCAAAATTGCCGTGTCAAAATTTTATATTTTGGATCAATTATTTCTTTTGTTATTTTTCCACTTCCAAAAACTCGGTAATGCACTTTATAAATTAACACGAGCAGAAAAACACGGCAAAGACATTACCAGAGAAACAACGAGCAGAAAAACAAGGAACAGACGACGTGCAGATGTCCGACAAATAACTATAGCGAAGTTTACTGGAGAAAATGGTACCAGATGTGAAACGATTTCACAAGAACGTGCAATATCATACCCCAAACCCGGCGGAGATGGAGATGGCAAAAACCCGGAGGTAGCAAGGCCTTGTAAACCCCGGGGGTTTCAATCGTGCAAACTTTTGATAAGGTTCCTCCAACAGGTTATAATTTAATACTTGTCGTAGCTTGTATGTCTACGTACATTCTTGAACAAAAAAGTAGGAATTCGTCTTGGACGAACTTTTGGGCGCAGATTTTTCGTTCATAGTTTAAGGAGGGAAGAGGCTGCTAAACGTAAACTCCCTGAAGTACCCAAAAGGTTGAAAAAGGCCTCCAAAGCCCAACTCCCTAAAGTCCCCAAATCTTCTACACCTAAGGTCCCTGCTGCTGAACTGAAGTTGTTTGAGATTACGTTGATACGTGGTGGTATTTCCCTTTCTTTGTTAATGGACTATTGGCCAAATACATTTCTGGACTTAAATGCTTATGTGGAATTCTTATATGAGTGGTATGAGCACTGGTGTTTGCAACACAGTAAACATAGAGGTGATATATGTTCTCGTCCCGTTGATTATTTGTTGGGAACAAAAGAGCTGCATGATAAGGTTATAAGGGATCTTAATCTTCTTCCTCATGATAAAGTGATGTCATTAAGTTGGTTTAAATCTTTTTTCAAATTTGACTGTGCCCTCATGTTGTACAATTATCGTGGTTCAATCATACTGCGTGTCCGGGAGATACTTATCCCGTTTTCGGTATCGGGAGAACTTATCAAGACTGTTGTTTCTGCTGGAGTTCAATGTAAAGTTGATGACGATGGATGGAAGGTGAATCGTCGCTAATGGAAGAAGGTGTTGAAGAACGCTGGCTTAACCGAGTCCCTGGAGGACACGGCTGATCCTCCGACATTTGATCCCAGTGACAGACTACTTTTGAAGTAGTGTTTAAAAGTCAATTACTGTTGCTATGGTAAGTTTTTGATATCTAGTTTCTGGTATGTCATGAGGTGTTCATATCAAGTTTTTTATTTGTGGTTTCTGGTATGTTATGAGGTGTTCATAGCAAGTTTTTGATTTGTGGTTTCTGGTATGTTCTGAGGTGTTCTTAGGGTTTCTGGTAATTTGTAGGTGTTCTTAGGTGTTTCTAGTAAAATTTTGGCTGTTAATTTGTGAATGACATTTTGGTGGCTTATTATGGTTGTTAATTGTTATTAATTAATGTTGTGGTTGTGACATGAATATTATTGTGTGAATAGAGTGTTTTTTGTGGTAAAAGTTTTTGTTGTTATAATGAGTTAGGTAACATTTGAAGGAGTTATCAAAGAAAAAATGACTCTTTTATGACATGAGAAAATCAATACTTAAATGAGAATTCCTCTTATGACATGAGAAAATTCATACTGAAATGAGAATTCCTCCCCCGTCTCATAAACCCATCAATATTTCACAACAAAGATCAAATGGGTTTACGAGAAGAAAGAAGGAATTCTCATTTAAGTATGGATTTTCTCATGTCATAAAAGGGTCATTTTCTCTTTGATAACTCCTTCAAATGTTACCTAACTCATTATAACAACAAAAGCTTTGACCACCAAAAACACTCTACTCACACAATAATATTCCTGTCACAGTCAGGACATTAATTAATAACAACCATAATAAGCCAAATGTCATTCACAAATTAACAGCCAAAACTTTACCAGAAACACCTACAAATTACCAGAAACCCTAAGAACACCTGAACACCTCAGAACATACCAGAAACCACAAATCAAAAACTTGCTATGAACACCTCATAACATACCAGAAACTACAAATAAAAAACTTGATATGAACACCTCATAACATACCAGAAACTAGATATCAAAAACTTACCATAGCAACAGTAATTGACTTTTAAACACTACTTCAAAAGCAGTCTGTCACTGGGATGAAATGTCGGAGGATCAGCCATGTCCAGAATAACCAAGGACTCGGTTGAGCCAGCGTTATTCAACATCTTATTCCAGTAGCGACGATTCACCTTCCATCCATCGTCATCAACTTTACATTGAACTCCAGCAGAAACAACAATCTTGATAAGTTCTCCCGATACCAAAAACGGGATAAGTATCTCCCGGACACGCAGTATGATTGAACCTCGATAATGGTACAACATGAGGGTAAAGTCAATTTTGAAAAAAGATTTAAACCAACTTAATGACATCAGTTTACCATAAGGAAGAAGATTAAGATCCCTTATAACCTTATCATGCAGCTCTTTTGTTCCCAACAAATAATCATCGGGACGAAAACATATATCACATCTATGTTTACTGTGTTGCAAACACCAGTGTTCATACCACTCATATAAGAACTCCACATAAGCATTTAAGTCCAGAAATATATTTGGCCAATAGTCCATTAACAAAGAAAGGGAAATACCACCACGAATCAACGTAATCTCAAACAACTTCAATTCAGCAGCAGGGACCTTAGGTGTAGAAGATTTGGGGACTTTAGGGAGTTGGGCTTTGGAGGCCTTTTTCAACCTTTTGGGGACTTCAGGGAGTTTACGATTAGCAGCCTCTTCCCTCCTTAAACTATGAACGAAAAATATGCGCCCAAGACGGATTCCTACTTTTTTGTTCAAGAATGTACATAGGCATACAAACTACGACAAACAAGGAAAACAACTACATAGACATTACCAGAGAAACCAACGAGCAGAAAAACAAGGAACAGACGACGTGTAGATGTCCGACAAACAACTATAGCGAAGTTTACTCGAGAAAATACGAGAACGTGTAGAATCATACCCCAAACCCGGCGGAGATGGAGATGGCAAAATCCCGGAGGTAAAACGTGTGGATGGAGAGGAATGCGGCAGAAATCCCTGGAGGGAGAGACTAACCCAGCGGACAAAACGGAGTAGATGAAGGTGAAAGCGTAACCACCGGATATAAACAAGGAAACCGATTTGACGCCGCATTTCTTGCAGCTCGGGAAAAGAGGCGGAATATGTTTCAAGTTATGTTCATTTATACAGAGTACAGGGTTTTAGGGTTATGAGTGGCCTTTTGAGAGATTGTTGGGCTGGGCTTCTGGGTTTGATGGGTTTGAGAGACTTGAGAGATGGGTTGGCTGTGTGGGCTTATTAAGCTCACTAGTTTTAAATAAGCTCTGCTCAATGAACTCTCGTCTTGTTTGGTGAAGTCTTAAAAAAAGAAACACCATTTTTTTCTAAATTTACACAAAGTTCGACTAAATTATATAAAAAATCAGAAAAAAAAATAAAAAATAAAAAATCAAAATCAAAACATAAAAAATACTTAATTTTAAGAATTCTTCATCCAAGACCAAAAGAAACATACACCCAAAATTCTTATAAATTGGATTGAGAAGAAAACTTATTCTCAATTCCAAAGAATAAGAAGTATTCTCAATTCCAAAGAATAAGAACTTCGGGAGGCATATTTCAACATAGCCGGATTTCATTTGGGGCGTGAATTTGAGATATATTATATTTGAGTGAATTTGAGATATATGAGAATTTGAGATATATTTGGTATTACCAGGGAAAGTCTGAGATGTAAGGAAAAGGTGTACTTGGTCTTTATTTATAGTCAAATTTATAGCTTCAGAGTAGGTGTGACAAACCACCGTATTTATCGCTTGAGTAGTGCTACATGTACAATCAAAAATGTACAATAAGTTATACAATGAGAGGATATATCGCGATAAATTCATAATCTCGATAACTTGAAAATAAAGACATTGTATTTTAATTATTAAAACACTACACTTTATTGTTTCAACACCAATTATTTTCATTTTATTTTTTTTGTTTATTTTTATATTATTTTATTTTTCCCTTACGAACATAATATAGAATATTAGAAAGTACCAATTTTTAATAATGTATAATATTTCTTAAAAAAATACATTGGGAAAAAAATCAACTATTAATTTAAGAACAATTTTTCCTGTTTGTTAGTCATTCATGACATGCATAAAAATGCTAATAACTCAGTATTAAAATAAAAGGCTATGAGACATGAGTACCTTCAAAGCTGCCTGGAAAGCTTCTCAGTCGACAGCCGTGAGAAGTGGGAGCTTCCTTTGCCAGACTTTCTTTGCCTGACTTTAATTTATTGGCTGGCCAGACTTTCTTAATCAAGCAACTCCCTCTTCCAAATAATCTTATCTGCTAATCCAGAACTCAGGACCATCCTGCAATGTATTATATTATCTTAGGAACTTGCTAATGTTGATACATACTACCATTCAAATATTATAACACCAAGTAAAGTAAATGATCAACATTGATAATCATGCAAGTGCATAAACATATGTCGTATGCTCTATATCTTCCATACAAAACCTAAACTCGAATTTAACTTTAACTGATCAGTTTCCAAGTTTCCATGTGTACCCTGGGCCCATTTGAACAAAGCTAGGAAAATGAGAAAATTTCAGTTATGTTGCCTTAAAGAGTATTTCTAGTGCTTCAATTTTCAAGAATTGGTCAATTGTGTATACTCAATCAACTGTCTATACTCAAGTCAAGAGCTACATCCTATAGCTATGATGAGTGAGGATTTGCATGTTATATTCAGATGCTGCTCCCTTATAATGTTTTTGAGTGTTTTGTATTTTGCTATTACAAATGTTTAGCTGTTTTTCATTTGTGCAACCTATTTACATTGCTGGTTGTGTTATGCTAACATATACGGAGAAAGGGGATGGCAGCAAGGACAAGGTGAAATTTGGATCAGCAGCTTTTCTGATCAAGCTTGAGAGTAAAAGGGCAATTAAGGTATTATTCTATACTCTCTTTTGCCTTCAATTTCTCCATCTGTGTATAGTTCTCTCTCGAATTTATAAAAGATTTGAGTTTGTTGCACTACTCTTTTCTTTTCTGTATTTGTAATTAAGTTAAAATGCATCAAATATTTGTATCATTTTCAAGAGATTTAAAGAACAAACAGAAAAAACATACAACCAAGTATGAAGCATGTTTAAAATTTTTACCAAGAACAAACAGCCAAGCATGAATAATGTTTAGATTCAACCAAGAACAACTACATATAGGTATTTCCATTCATCTTCTTACTGCACATTTTAGGTATCTACACTCTGCCTATTTCTTTCCATGCTCTAAACTAATTGTATTTCACACTACTGCATACCTTGACAGTACAGATGAAAAATTGGCTTCCATTGGTATTGGGGCTAGTATTTGCCATGTTAGCAATTTCAGGTCGATTGTGAGCAACTGCAGATACAGAATCTTCTCAGCTAAGAAAGAAAAAAAAAACATTAGTTCACTCCAGCTGGAAAAATCAGAAGAAGTACAAACTCACGCTTAAAGTTTTCATTTTTGAATGTACACCCATACATAATTTTACCGCCTCTGCGATGATAAACCACATCTGAAACGTGAGGACCGGGAGAGAGGGATCGTTCGTAGTTGATACCGTGAAGGAAACCTCTCTGATCGGCGAGTTCCCTTCGGGGAAGTTTTAAGCATATAATTTTTCATTGAGTAACTGAATTTGGGAAAACACACAAACAGAACCAAAAAAAAAAAAATGCAAAGTGATGAAATTACTGAGCTAGAAAAGCAAAGTGGTGGAGTGAAATGGTGCCGAAAGTCTGGTGGGGCCGAGTACTTTTTTGGCGGTGGCGGCTGCTGCTGTTTTTGGCGCAAGAGAAGCAAAATTATATTCCAGAGTAATAGCACAAAAGCACAAGATCCAACATATGTTACAAAGTAATTATCTTAAAACAAACTTCTGTCACGTTAAAACTCATACATCATTTTTCCTGATGATAAAATTCCGGATTAAAGATCTATGACACACAGCTAATTAAATTATGCAACAGGTTTTGTCTAGAACTAACATCTTCAAAGTAACTTATTAAAATGAGCCTGTAATTACACACAAACCGACAACTTAGAAAGAAAAAAGTTTACCAGGTTAAAGGCACGTTGTTGAACCTGAACTCATAAAAGGCAAAGCTTCTGTGTAGACTGTGTAGTACAACAAACAACAACAACAACAACATACCCAGTATATTCCCAATAGGTTGGGGTCTGGGGGGTCTGGGAGGTCAGTTGTACGCAGACCTTACCCTTGTAATTATAGAAGGAGGTTGTTTCCGCAGCGACCCAAGGCGCATTGTGCCGTTTGATATTTTTTTTTTTCTAGAAACTTCACAGATAGAATAAGTCATTTTGATCTAGTCCATTATTAACACTATGTCAGGAGAATTGTCAACAATGACTCTTCCAGCTCCATTTGCAATAGACAAAACAGCATGACATTTTTATTTAAAAGAAAAACATAGCATGAAACTATAGGAAATTTAGCAACCAAGCAGCTCATTCACTCAACACTGAATATATTCCAAAACAAACCGATATCACGTGGAGAATTTTTGGGCTAGTCAAGGAAATATAGCAATCAAAGCAGCTCATTCATCCCACATAGAATGTATACTAAAAAAAATTGATATCAAGATTAAGCACGACAACACTGTATTCTTCCCAAATGATGAACTTTTGTAGACAAACACACGCACACACATAGAAAGCACAACCTCAACCGCATACTGCATACTGTACAATCAGAACAAACAATCAATTTGGAGGCTACAAAGTAAGATCACAATAATAATAGCAAAAAATAAGCAAAAAGATGAGAGCTTTACCATGAAAATCAGAGGTGAAGGCCCGTACGACAAATAGGCGGTGCCCAGCCAAGATTTCTCGGCGGAAATTCCATAGAGGCATGCGACGTTGAGAGGCCACTAAAAAATAAGCTAGACTCAAACAATCCCTCGGAATAAGTGCGGCTTCTCGGTGACCAGATAGACGCCGTACCCCTGGGCGTGCCAATCTTGAGCTGCAACAGAAATGGCGGAAAGGGGTGTTCCGGGAGGCACGCCTGGCCGTTCGATGCGTGGCGCCACGACAGCGATAAAGAGGGAGAAGACGAAGATGGTGACGTCGAGAAGCTTGCAGAGGGGGCGAGGGTTTGAGAAGGGGTACCGAAACTGCCGTTGCTCAGCTTGAACCCTAGCAGCTTGGGTACCCATCAGTCGGCTCATCGGACGGATTGACGAATCGTCTGATAAAGTTCGGTGCGTCAATCTACGGCTCAAATCCTAGCCGAGATATGGCAACCTAGAATTTTAGAGATTGAGACTGAAGAGATAAGGGTAATGGGAGAGAAAAGTAGGACGTCCGAAATAATTTCAAAGATTGAGAGAATCCACATTAGTTAATTATTTTTCTATTCATTCGATCAAAAATTACACTCTTTCACATATACATTATCATCTTTCTATTAATTCTTTCTCCATTTTTCTATTCTTCATTTAAACACACGTAAGTACATGACACACCCACATTCCTACACATTCATTTAAAAAATTAAATAAAATATTCCAAGCCCCACTAGTAAGACCAACTAAATTCACTCACTCATCGATCAACAAAAGATAATTTAAAATTCTCATCCAATCAAAATTCCTTTTTAACAATACGAAGAAAGACCCAAAAAGTATTTTATAAATTTAAAAAACAAAATTTCATCTATAATTCGCCATTTTTGTACCTCATTGCAGCTGTTTTCTCTCACGATCGTCAGCCATGGAAATTTCTTGAAACACCTCAAAATCAGCTTACGAGTCCCTCAAGCTTACTCAAATTAATAGCACCTTATTCGGCAAGAGTCTGTATCCGAGCTCACCAATCATGGTTTCAGTCGAAGATTCTCGTTCCCACTCCAACCCAACATCGCCGCCCCCTACGCCCAAACGCGGCCTTACTATTACTACACTCCGCCACCGTCCTCTGCCAAGATAAGCCGGTCGATGGGCCGGTCCATGCGGACAATCCGGTCCAACCTCTTCAGCGCTCACCAATCCGGCCCAATCCTCGAGAGCTCGCCCAACATCTCCGAAAACCTCACCGACTCGGTCATCGACCTCCGACTCGGTGAGCTCGCCAGCAAATCGTCTCGCAACTCGAAAAGCCCCTCGTCCTCCGACCTCGACGGTATACTCGACATCTCCACCGCCTTCAGCGACGTCTCCGCCTGCTCGAGCGACATCTCCGGCGAGCTCCAGCGCCTGGCCAACCTCCCTGACCCCGGCCCGAACGAGGGCGCGAGCTCGGATCCCGAGCCCGAACCTTGCTCCGGATTCCTACAGAGGGAGACGTTCTCCACGGAGATCATCGACAGCATATCGCCGGAGGACCTCCAGCCGACGGTCAAGCTCTGTGTCGACGGCCTGCAGTCGCCGTCGGTAGCCGTGAAAAGGTCCGCGGCAGCCAAGCTACGCCTGCTGGCTAAAAACCGAGCCAACAACCGAGCCTTGATTGGGGAATCCGGCGCTGTCCCCACACTTGTCCCGCTCCTCCGCTGCTCGGACCCGATGACCCAGGAGCACACGGTCACCGCCCTCCTCAATCTCTCCCTTCACGAGGGCAACAAGAGCGTGATTATAAACGCCGGCGGCATCAAATCCTGGGACTAGCCTATTTACCAAATTTATTTGGGCCTTTAAGGGAACCAATTTCTTTAATTCGAACCAAGCCTAGAGTATAGAGTAATTTACATATGGGCTCATGAGCCGTGTAATGAATTGTCCAATAAACCAAGTCCAATAAAGAGAGCCAGTAGAATTATGGTTTAAAATCGATCTGCCTGCGTCTATTTAGAATTTTTCCCCATACAGAGAAATGGTGTCTCTGAATCTTAAATCAAAATTGAAACCCCTTTGGAATTTGTGTAGAACCTTCTCTAACGCTCCTCTCCCCGTGTGTTCAAAGGATAAGAGCAAGTTTATCGTGCCGCAGTATACAGCCCCGGGAAGGTTTAATTGCTTGATTATTTCGATCGAGGATACGGCTCATAAACTCGAAAGAGATATCAATTATCCAAAGCTTTTTCATAACCCCGTTGCTGCTTGTAAGCGCAAGGGTTTGGTGTTGCTTGATATCTATGGATCATACGATAAAGATACAGACACAGGAACGAGTCGAGTCGAGGCGAGGCTCTATGGAACCCTACCACCAACGAACTCAAGATCCTTCCTCCATCTCCCGCAACTTTGGATCCAAGGTACTATTGAAAATGCATCTTAATTATTCAGATTTATTTTCCTCATAGATTCGATAAATTGAATATACCCTGAAGAATTAAGTGTTCCTTGGAAAGTATATATCAATGAAATATTTGTTCTTTGGAATCGATCTCAATTACTTCAAAAAGTAAAACCAAATTAATGTCAACCCTACGCTATAACTTTACCGAAAGTTTCTATGATTTTTTCCTTTTATTATTAATTTTCAATTACTTCAAAAAGTAAAACCAAATTAATGTCAACCCTACGCTATAACTTTACCGAAAGTTTCTATGATTTTTTCCTTTTATTATTAATTTTCTTTTATTGAAATTGACATATTGTTTCAGCTCAAATTTTTATGAATCTTTCTCTATTTTTTTATTTGTTTAACTATGATTTTTATGATATTATTTTTTTTAAAATTTTATTATGTAATTTAATGTGTATATATATATATTTTTTTTGTTGACAAAGTATGTACAAATGAATACACAAAAAAAAAATTATTTGAGAGGGGGCAAAGGCAAGATTGATTTATTCATTTTTTAAACATTGCTTTTAGGCTACCAAAGACTGTTTAAATAACTATTTAGCTGATTTTTTTTTGTTTATCAGAGACGCACTTATTTTCAAGTCGAGCTGCATGTATTTTGGTTTTGGGTTTGATTCGGCGTCTGAGGACTATAAAGTGATAAGATTTGTCATACCTAGGGTTAATGACGCTAATATGATGGCTGAACTGTATTTGCTCGCAACTAATTCCTGGAAACCAGTTAACGTTGCTCCTCGCGCTGGTCCACGTTGGGGTGGCATTCACGTAAACGGTTCTTATTACGGGAAAAGTACCTCAGAGCCTGGTTTTATAACGTCTTTTAACTGTGCTACAGAGAAGTTTGCTTCCTGTCCTATTCATGTGCCTCAAAGCGAAAAACTCAATAGGCCATATTCTAATTTGACGCTGGTGGAATTTCGTGGTTCGCTTGGTGCTGTTGTTGACTTGATAAGTAGTCGTCCTGATCCTTTGCGTAGTTTGGAAGTTTGGGTGTGGGATGACGTCAAATGGACGTGGTCTCTGGTGTCCACATTCGACGTCCCTCGTTCTATGAGTGCATGGAGCCTCGTTGGGAGTGATAAAATAATTTTTGTGGAGTCTCTTGATCGTGATTTGATGTTTTTTGACTGTGCAACGGGCAAGTTGGAGAACATTGCTGGTGCACCTCAAGCTTTGGTGCCGAGAATTTTATCCTTTGTCGAGAGCTACATTCCACTGAACTAATCTGGGAAATAATAAATGAGCCTGTCGCGACTTGCACTGTCGATCGAGGATACTGCTCATGAAGTCGAAAAATGTATCAATTATCCAAAGCTTTATCATAAGCCTGTCGCGACTTGCAATGGTTTGATGTTGCTTTTGTTCGAAGGATCACATGATGAAGATACAGACACAAGAACGAGTCCAGATGAAGCTTTATGGAATCCCACCACTAACGAACTCAAAATCCTTCCTCCATCTCCCGCAACCTTGAACCCAAGGTACTATTGGAAATGCATCTTAATTATTGAGAATTTTTTTTCCCACTCGAATGATAAATTGAATATATCCACAAGATTTCACTGTTATTTGGAAACTATATATGAATAAGATTGTTTCTTTATTTCTTGTCTGGAACGATAAATTGAATATGTCGGGAAGAATAACTATTCTTTGGAGGCATATGTGAATTTAAAAAACGGGTCAAGGGTGGCTGTTGTTAGTTAATTACTGCAGCCCAGCTGTTAAATTTTTGAAACGCCGTTTTTAGGTCACCACATGCTTTGTAAATAACTATTTAGGTCATTTTTTTATTTTTTTCAGAGACAGATATTTTAAGCCGAGTTGCATTTATTTTGGTTTCGGGTTTGATTCGGCGTCCGAGGACTATAAGGTGATAAGATTTCTCAGACATGAAGATGAGTACTGTCATCCGGCCCTTCGTGGCGATTGGCCTGAGATGGCTGAAGTGTATTCGCTCGCAACTAATTCCTGGCATAAAGTCATTCATTCGTCCTCTCGATGATCCAAGCAGGGGCATTCACGTAAACGGTTCTTATTACTGGTTAAATAGCTATGAGCTTGGTTTTATTATGTCTTTCAACTTTGGTAGTGAGAAGTTTTCCTCTTGTCGTATTAAAGTGCCCCAAAGCGAGAAGCTCGATAGATGTACATTTAGTAATTTGAAGCTCGTGGAATTTCGTGGTTCGCTTGGTGCTATTGTTCACTCGCCTGCTGCTGATCCTTTTTGTAGTTTCGAAGTTTGGGTGTGGGATGACGGCATATGGTCATGGTCACTGGTGTCCACGTTCGAAGCCCCTATTTCTATGAGTTGTGAATGGAGCCTCTTTGGGAGTGATAAACTAATTTTTGTAGACGTGAAGCAGGATATGATGTTTTTTGATTATGCAACGGGAAAGTTGGAGAACATTGCTGGTTCGCCTAAAGCTTTTGTAGCGGGGATTTTCCCTTTTGTCGAGAGCTACGTTACACTGAACTAATCTGGGAAATAATCAATGAGAGATGGTTGGAATAGTTATCTGAGCTGGGGACAGTTTGTTTCTTTCGTTTTAGGGACTGCTATGTTTATTCCATCATTGCATGTGAATTTGGTTTCTGCTTCGTTTTGTATGATGGATTTCTGTTATTGAAATGGTATCCATTATTATTATTATTATTATTATTATTATTATTATTATTATTATTATTATTAGTCCTTCGACCAGGTCTTCTGTAAAGCTGGGACCTATCAGATCTCTCGGGGTTTTTGTGGCTGTGACCTGTGTCTACCATCGGTCCGGGTGGGCTTCGTTCGACTAACCCCTGAACTGGTCTGAGGTATAATATCCTATATTAGTGCTTATGATTTAGTCTTGAAGACTTTAGAGGATGAATAGCGTTGTGCCTCTCCCATTGCTACTCCTGTATCTAGTCCCACTCTCAAAAGCAACTTGGCAGTACATTTCGCCATTCGAAAAAATGGCTGCCACTTTATTATTATTTTTTCATTCGCAAAAGGCCTGGAAACAATTCCCTCAAAGCGTGTATCAAAGTATGTACCATATACACACACACGTATTCACAACTATTTTATCCAACAGAAACCATTTCTGTAGACACAAATCAACAAATTTGATTGATTATAATTAATCTTGAAATTAACATCAAATACAACACTTGTATCACACACATAAATAATATGGTTTAACAATTAAACATGTTTCTCACATATGTCATAAACACAAACAAATCAAAATCTGATTTTAAAGATGCAAACCGTGGATCTGATACCACTGTTGGGTACGCTATGCCGCACGGGGTCAAACGCAGTAAAAATTAAACAAAATAAATAAGCATTTATCGAATAAATACTAAATCCCTCGGCTCACTTAGTATTTGTAACGATCGGCCTCTTTTAAAATCACGTAATAGTACGAATTTTGATTTGTAGGTAATTTTGAAAATTACCTTTAATTTTCTTCAAATAGCGACGATGAAGAGGGAATCAGTTCCCGGGTATATGACTATCACCGTCTTCGTACGTCTCACCGTAGGGATCCACATGTCTCTAGAGCCCAATTAATCAATCTAACTGATTAATTTTTTTAATTCCTATAATTGACATCGAATTAAAATTAGATTTAATTAAATAATCAAATTATTTAATTAAATATTGTCAATTAATCCAACCATTGGAAATACCAATTTCAAAATGTCATCATCCAAAATATGAGGTGACCCTTTTAGTTTCACGCTTTACACTAGTAGTGTGTTTACAACTCGTTTGTAATTTAAATTAATCTAATTAATTTATATTCTTGAAATTAACTCCTTAATTTCAAAAACCCACAAATCACGGTAACACCTAGCAAATAGCATGATAATCTAGTTAAGTGAAATAGTGAGTAAACCTTTTAAATTGCAAGTGCATACACATAGAATCCTTTCGACAACTAATTTCCCGATTAAATCTTGGGCATGAATTTATAAGTCGAAACCCAATTGATTTAATAATTATGATTCCATTTCAAGTTTAATGATTCCTTTATGAATCCATATTCATCCTGCCTTGGCCAAAGACTTTGAATCACAAACTATGAAAAAACATAGGAAATTCACTTATCCACATAAGTGTTGAATTCTATGTTGGTCACAGACAAATCTCCATACACATTAATACATTACCCAAAATATATCTTTTATTATTGTCCAACAATCAAAAGATAATTAAAGTAAATTGCAACATGCACAAGATTGCTATCGTGCCTCAAGTCAAAGGACTAGTCATGTACTATTGCAACATGAAAATTCTTATTCGGCAGTTAAAAACTTCCAGTTAAGAATTTTCATCGGGCCATGTTCAATGAACTTGTTCCCCAACAAGCACCCGCATATATGCATTTGCGTCCACATGCTAATGTTGATGGAATGCAACATCCTCTTTCGACGAGCATGCATCATATGCACAAGTCTAATCGGGTTATTCAATGTCCTGTCTCGAAATACCCATCGACTTGGAACTTATTTAAGATCACAGCTTTAAAGACATGTTCCATGATTGCCATCAAATGCGCAACCATGCCTCGTAACTAATAATGATCTAAGGACTACATCATATGTGCAAATATACAATATATGCATAGACATAAGATAAAACAATGACTCGAAATAATATAAATTCCAATAAATTGTCCTTACAAGTAGAAAATGATCCAATCAAATTGGAACGCCAAATATTCTACTCTAACATTTTACTCCTATTGAACCGCAACCCTTCCCTCAGTCTATAACTCTAAAATGATACAAAGGAACACCTAGATATATATATGGAGAAAAGTTCAAACCTACATGAACTACTCCAAATATAATCTTTGACACTTTTAAACCCAAAAATACCTATATTATATACAAATGAAATTTATATTACTTTTAAATTATGGTAACATTATAAAATTTTGTATATAGCGTAACATATAAGTTACTATGAAAATTATTAATAAATTACCCCGTCCATCGTTAAACTTAAACTAAGAGCATCTTCAATGGTCTTTCCATTGCTGCCACATGGCAAAAAAAATCTGACGTGGCCTGGAAAATGTCTAGAAGGCTTTCTAGATATAGAAGTCCTTCTAAACAACTTCTATTATATATTATACTATTATTTATTCAATTTATCTCTCTTCTCCAACCAATTACAATTTTACACATCACAAATGACACCACAATTAACATAACTATTAGGGACAAAAAATTTTAATTCCCTTTCTTTACGTTGTACATGGCAATCTCCATTGGAGATGCTCTAATGGCTTCACCCCGGAGCAGCGATATTATTAAAAGGATATTCCAAGCCCCACCCGCAAGACCAACTAAATCCACTCACTCATCCATCAACAAAACAGTAATTTAAAATTCTCATCCCATCAAAATTCCTTTTTAAATATATGAAAGACCCAAAAAGTATTTTATAAAATAAAATATATAAAAAAATCTCATCTATAAGTCCGCCATTTTTATACATCATTGCAGCTGTTTTCCTGTTTTCTCTCACCATCGTCAGCCATGGAAATTTCTTGAAACACCTCAAAATCAACTTACGAGTCCTCTCAGCTTACTCAAATTTAAACTTTAAAGTACCCTATTCGGCCACGGTCCGTATCCGAGCTCACCAGTCATGGTCTCAATCGAAGATTCTCGTTCCCACTCCAACCCCAACATCGCCGGCGTCGCCCCCTACGCCCAAAAGCGGCCTTACTACTACTACTCTCCGCCGCCGTCCTCCGCCACAATAAGCCGGTCGATGGGCCGGTCCATGCGGACAATCCGGTCCAACCTCTTCAGCGCTCACCAATCCGGCCCAATCCTCGAGAGCTCGCCCAACGTCTCCGAGAACCTCACCGACTCGGTCATCGACCTCCGACTCGATGAGCTCGCCAGCAAATCGTCTCGCAACTCGAAAAGCCCCTCGTCCTCCGATCTCGATGGTATACTCGACATCTCCACCGCCTTCAGCGACGTCTCCGCCTGCTCGAGCGACATCTCCGGCGAGCTCCAGCGCCTAGCCAACCTCCCTGACCCCGGCCCGAACGAGGGCGCGAGCTCGGATCCCGAGCCCGAACCTTGCTCCGGATTCCTACAGAGGGAGACGTTCTCCACGGAGATCATCGAGAGCATCTCGCCGGAGGACCTCCAGCCGACGGTACAGCTCTGCGTCGACGGCCTACAGTCGCCGTCGGTAGCCGTGAAAAGGTCCGCGGCAGCCAAGCTGCGCCTGCTGGCTAAAAACCGAGCCGACAACCGAGCCTTGATTGGGGAATCCGGCGCTGTCCCCACCCTTGTCTCGCTCCTCCGCTGCTCGGACCCGATGACCCAGGAGCACACGGTCACCGCCCTCCTCAATCTCTCCCTTCACGAGGGCAACAAGAGCGTGATTATAAACGCCGGCGGCATCAAATCCCTAATCTATGTCCTGAAAACCGGCACCGAGACCTCCAAGCAGAACGCGGCCTGTGCTTTGCTCAGCCTGGCCCTGGTGGAGGAGTACAAGCTCTCGATTGGGGCCTCCGGGGCCATACCTCCGCTCGTGGCCCTATTGATTAACGGGTCAAACAGAGGGAAAAAGGACGCACTCACCACCCTCTACAAGCTGTGCTCAGTCAAGCTGAACAAGGAGAGGGCGGTTAGTGCTGGTGCAGTTAGGCCGCTGGTGGGGCTGGTGGGGGAGCAGGGGACTGGGCTGGCGGAGAAGGCCATGGTAGTTCTGAGTAGCCTGGCAGGGATTGAGATGGGGCAGGAGGCATTGGTAGAGGAAGGGGGGATTGCGGTCTTAGTGGAGGCAATTGAGGACGGTAGTGATAAAGGGAAGGAGTTTGCGGTTTTGACTCTGTTGCAGTTGTGTGCAGAGAGTGTGACAAACAGGGGATTGCTCATCAGGGAAGGTGGGATTCCACCATTGGTGGCTTTGTCTCAGACCGGAACGGCTAAAGCTAAGATTAAGGTTCTTTCTCGGAATATTTTGTGTTGATTGTTCCTGTCGTTAGTTGTTTTTATTGAATTAGGTGTATGCTTTTTAACATTGCATCTTGCGAGGGGATGTGTTCTTTGATTTCAATTAGATGACTGAGTTAGTATCCCCTGTTAAGAATACGTTGGGATTTAGCGTTCAAACTTTTTGAGTTGGGGTCTTTTGATTTTTGCACTTGGATGAAGCTCGATTCTTTTAGGTGATTATTGGATTTATGCTGGGACATGGAGGGATTTCTTTTTCTTCTCTTTCTTTTATTCAATTATAACTTGTGGAATAAACTCCTAAATTATGTTGTTAATAATTGAGACTGAATGAGAACATGAAGACATAGATCATCATGCAAGTTGCAAGAGGTACTTGATTCATGATGATGTCTTTATCATGTTGTCTAAATTATCTCAATGATGTCTGTATCGTGGCTTTTATGTTTCTGGTGTTGTGCTCTTCATATACATTTGGGCTACCAATGTATTATTTGTTCTTAGCAGTCTGAATATTCGGGGAAGATAAGTGCTTAGTTTAGAGGAATAATCACTAATGTGTTGTTGTTTTCTTCTTATTTTTCAATCATGATGGGCTACAATATTCTGGTTCTATCTCGTTTCTATGAGATTTAAATGCTTCAACTTTTCTTTTTTCATACAAAAATCTCATTCAACTTCTTTTTCATGGCATTTTGTTCTCAGTGAATGTTACTTGTTTAATTTTGTCAGGCTGAAAGGCTTCTTGGGTACTTGAGAGAACCAAGACGGGAAGCTTCTTTGTTGAGCCCATAAAGAAGGTAACTTGAGATGGCTCACTATTGTATCATGCTTTTGCATTGGCTTGCTGCTGGCTGTGTATAGAAAATATTTGGTATTTGTACAGTGTGGCTGATTAAATCCAGCATTATATTAGTCTTNTTCAGACAAATAAATATATATAATAGATAAGAAAAAAAAAAAAAAAAAAAAGAGAAGAGAAAAGAAAAGAAAAACACTTGAATGAAAGTATTTAGAAGCTGTACTGGTAGCTAGTAAAGGAGCTGACCTATTATTAGTTGTGGTTTGGTTGGATGATTTTTCTATTAGGAGGTTAATAAATCCCCGGTTTTGCTGACTGCTATTGCTCTTTGTATGTGTTGAGAATTTGGGTTTTTCATCCTTGGTTTTGTTGTGGAGTGGTCCAAATTCTTGTAAGGTTTTGGTTTTGCTATATGTTTGGCTTGAGCCTTGAGACAATGTAAAAGAAAAAAGGTATTGAAAGAGAAAAAAATCAGAATGAGTTATGCTTTTGCAGTTTGGTTTGTTATACACGATTGTCTATACTCTGTTTGTCATCCTTTTCGCCTTTCTCGGCATGTTATCTTGTCTTTTTTCTGTTTTCTTTATATTTCTTTTTAGGAACTTAGCATTTTCTTGAAATGAACTTTGAATAAGGCCAACTCAACACATGCCTTTGTTTCAAATTGAATGATAGCATCTTGAAGATATGGATCTCTTAGCTGGCCAACTTGCAGGACAGAGGTCCATCTTACTTTATTTTTTTATTTTTTTTGTGTGTGTGTGTGTGTGAATTTGATTGATGCTCAAAATGCATTCCCTAAATGCCATTAAGATTCAAAAGGAACAATCTGTCTTAATCCTGGGTTTAAGTACTTGTTTGTTTTTCTGAGTTTAAAAGCAATGTTGAGTAGGATTAAAACATAAGCATGGGGAGTTAAGGGCTAATGAGTGTTTGGTAAAAAGTTTGTGATTATCCAGCATCAAATGTGATAGGGACCTACCAACTAATAAAACTGCAGGCACATCACCTGATAAGCCCAGCCAACCACCCACCAAACCTACACCAGATAACTCAGTTTAGTTAAATATTGTTGGGCTATTTTACATATTTACTTGAAAACTTTTGTAAAAATGTGACATTCAAAATAGAACTATACATAAACCATTTAAAAATCAATCACACAAATACTATAAAAGTTAGTATATTTGTAGTTAAAGTAAAAACTTTTTAAATATGAACATAAAATAAGATTTGAGGGTAAATGGTGTAATTTTAAACTTAAAAATTCTCTTTTTTTTCTTTAATTATTATTTTTTCCTAATTATTTATTGTTTCTCTCTCCTTGCTCCTGCCATATCTTGCTATTATTTCCTTAGCTGGCAGGGCAGGCATGTCTAGTCCTGCAACTTGAATAAGTAATTTTTCTATAATCTCTTCACTTGAAATATATGTACTTTTTCTTTTTTGCACGGCTCTATATTCTATTTTGGTCTCAAGTCTCAACTAACAAAGTGTCGGGTGTAATCTGAAAAAATGGCTGTGGATTGCAAAAAGGTTTTATTTTTTACATTTCAAGGAAAAAATAATAAAATAAAATAAAAGAACAGTTGGTAGTTGAAGAGTAATGATGCTCTTACAACGTTTGTAATGAGTTAAGAAAACAATTGGGGAAATCATCCTCAAAATTTTGATGACAACCTAATCCAACCTGTCGCGAATGAATTGAATTATAATAACTAGTACGTAACCCGTGCGATGCACGAGATGTAAAATTTGAAAAAATAATATAACTTTACGTGCATTAGGATCAAAATTGTAATCATTAAAATACATAGGGACATTGTTGAATCATAAAAAGTTCGGTAACAATCATATATTATTAAAGACCTCCTTGTACGCAACATTATGAGTTTGATTATTTGGTAACTCCTCATTATCACAAATTAATATTTTCAAAAGAGACAAATCCTAAAAATCAAACTAATATTTTTTGTGAACAAACTAATATTTTAGGATTGGTGAACAAACTAATATTTTAGGATTTCTAGGATTTGTCTCTTTTTGATGAACAAACTAATATTTTAGGATTGGTTATATGAATAAGGCTACCTGTTTTTTGTGTTCTTTTCATTCATTTTCATTCAAACAATCTGATGACTTGTATAATGAAACCGAATCTTAAGTCGAAATATTTAAAAATAAAATTTTTAAAAATTGAAAAGTCAAGACAATCAGTTCAGATTAATTAAAGGCCAAAGAATATCCGCTCTTTGAAATAGTGTGCTATCATTAACCAAATATCCGGTTATTGATATAGAGTGGTTACCAAAAAATAGAACGCAATAAGGACGCTTCATGGAAATATCAATGGGATAAGGTCATAACAGATCGCTATACATTTTAACGATTAAAGCTCAGATGGAATGATTTATGATAATTATGTCGTAATTAATGAATTAATTAGATGTGTGAAAAGGACATAATTAATGAGAAGTGTGAAAAGGAAGAAGTGTGAAAAGGACAAAAACTTGGTTTTGAAAAATATTTAATGCAAATCCGTCATTGACCATAATTTGACTTACTATTTTGGATAAATGTTAATTCTTATTATATAAGTATAGATAATCTATAATTCTGATAATAGTAATCTATTCTGCTATATAGTTTTGTTATAGAGCCATCACATAATATGGTTTATGAAATCATTTATAATTAGTAATAAATTGTGTATACAATGGTTGTCTTAGAATAAAGATCCGATCAACGATCAGGAGATGTCACTAGATTTCTTGTGAAAAGAGTTTTCTACAAATATATATATTTCACGAAAAACTACCATCTCAATCTTGGCGACATTCTGAAAAATTTAATGCACAATTCTTTTTTCTTTTTCAAAAAATTTAACAATAGTTTAACAAAGTTCGAAGTATTATATGAAGAAATTAAACATGTCATTTAAAAGAAAGATTGAGTCAGAGAACTTCAAAATGATATATGATTTTTTTTTAAAAATCCACCGCTAGTAGGCGGACGATGAAAATTGGCTGACGGTGATGGCGGACAATGGCGAGATAACCGATTCTTCAAATTTTGTGTGCTTTTAACTTAATAACTCATGTTTTTCATTGTTTTTATTTTTTAAAAATGTGATTGAAATTAAAATAAATTATAATTTAAATTACCGTAAGCGTAAATAGGTGTTTCACATGAACATGTACGAGACAACACTATTTTTTTTTTTTCCATCCGTTATATGTAGGGTTGAAATTATAGTTTTGGTCAATCTAACAATAAGATGAAAGGATGCCATTAGGATGAATGTGAAGCCATGAGAGTACCTATCCCTATAAAGTCACACCTAAAATCATAAAACTTTCAAGTGTAAACAAGGTCTCAATTGTATTAAACATCTGATAAACAGAAAGGAACACACAAGTTCATTCACAATTAAGAAGATTGAGCACTGTTTATTATCAAGCAAATGTAACATTGCCAGAGTCTCCTACTCAGTTCAAAATGCTGAAAAATCAAGAACATTTCAATTTCCATGTGGAAAATCCCCACAATACCCCCTAAACAAACAGAGGAAATAGTAAATAAATCAGACAGAACTAAGATAAAAATATATTTATAATTTTATTTAGTAGTATCATCATCCTCATCCTTACCCGACCCGCAGCACAACCCGGGCTTAAACCCTTTTTCGAGCATCTTCTCCACCTCCTCAAACGGCATCCCCTTCGTCTCGGGCACCAAAAAGTAAATCGCCACTAGCCCAACAGCCGAGAACCCAGCAAACAACAGAAACGTGCCAGCCGAACCAAGTGCCTCCGTCAGGGTCAAAAAGGTCTCACTCACAATAAGATTAGATACCCAATTGGAAACCGCAGCTATCCCACCCCCAATCCCTCTGTACCTCAGCGGATAAATCTCCGAGTTCACAATCCATGGCACCGTCCCCATTCCCGGAGAATAGGATATAATGTACATTCCCAACAATACCACCGCAAAAAAACCGAACTTACTCGGGCAACCCTGAGTGTACCACGTCCGCTTTTCCCCACGGCACATTGCCTTTATCTCATCAGTTGCAGCCAAACATGCCCCAGGATTGTACTGCACACAGGATGCAAGATTGTTGTTAATGACAAAAAAAAATTAAGGGTAAATAAATTAGGTAATAAAATAAAAATCTCGCCTCACCTTGTTACCACCTCCGCTGGCGCAGAACGCACAGTCGGACGACGACCTCACGCACGTCATGCAGTTCCAGCCAGCTGGCCGTGTGGCCCGCGAGTAGCCCTGACAGGTGGCGTTCCCTCCGAAATGCAACGACTCGAGTCCCCCGACAGGTGGCGCGTGATCGGCTGCCTCGTAAAAAACGACCGACAGCGCAACTAAACAGGCTATGATACCGAACATGGATACAATCATGAGTCGCCTTCTCCCAGACCTGTCGACAAATGCCATGCTGACGATGGACCCCACGGCGTTGAGTCCGGAAGTGACTAGGGACAGGGCTAAGGCTGTCCTGTTCGAGGCGAAACCTGCCAGCTGGACGATGGTCGGGCTGTAGTACATGACAGTGTTTATCCCGACAAATTGCTGGGCGACTTGGACCGTGATGCCAGCGTATAGTCCTCTTCGGACGACGTCGTTTTTCCATATGTTTTTTATTTTCGAGAGGGGGGATTGACCGAGGGATTCCTGGTCGGCCTTCTCGGCCTCGATCGAAGACTGTAGCGCGTTGAGTTCCTCTTCGACTTCGTGGGGAGGGTAGATTTTTTCGAGTATGGCACGCGCCTCTTTTACTTTGTTCTGCACCGAGAGGTAAAAAAAAAGTTTTACGGTGGTCTATCTTATTTGTTGAAACTACCTACCCAAAGTCCAAGAGAGAAGTTTACCTTGCGATAAAGCCACCTAGGCGACTCGGGAAGAAACAGCATCAAGAAAAACTGAACCAGAGCTGGCACTCCCGCAACCCCGAGCATCCAGCGCCATGTACCGGGTGCCTAATAAGCCACAAAACAAATTTACAATTTTTTTCATAACATGCTAAATCATTGATAATTTTTTTTATTTTTTTTTTTTAAGAAAAGTTACCTTGGTGAATGCTAAATTGATGAGATATGACAGAAACTGTCCACCTGTGATTAGCAAGCCATTGGTGCTGACTAAAGCTCCTCGAATTCTGGCAGGAGAAGCCTCCGAGATGTAAAGGGGTGCAGTCATGGAGGCCATCCCGACCCCAAAGCCTACGAATATTCTACCGAGGATTATCATCCAAGGGCCCACAGAGGCCGCCATCACAACAGCACCTGCGAAAAACAAAATGTCGGCCAACAGAATAGACTTTCGTCGGCCGTACTTATCGTTTATTAAGCCGCCAAAACCGGCCCCAACAATGGCTCCCGCCACAGCCATGCTCACGATAGTTTCCTGTGTGAAAAAACGGTAGGCCTGTCAGATGGGCTCGATTTTCTTATGGAATAATATAATGATTGAGATGGATAAAAGTTCACTTGCCTGCAACCAAGTATGACCATCGACGGTTTTGTATTCATCTCTAATATAGAGCAGGGCACCAGAAATAACACCTGGGGAACAGTTTTCGGACAATTTTAGTCTACGAATCGTTGAAAATACTATACAACATAGTGAATTTACGATATTTTGCTGAGATTATGATTTAGCTAATGGGATTTGATGAAAGTACCTGTATCATAACCGAACAATAAACCTCCAATACCGGCTGATAAGGCGAGGCGCATAATATAAGGCTTTTGCCAGCTCGTGCGCCAGCATTCGGTGAATTCTGTTTTATCCGGTTTTGTAATCCCGCCTTCCATATTGCTTGATAGTTGACTCAGTAATATAAGTTCTACGGAAAACCAACAGAAATTCAATTTTATGGTACAACCGAATATAAACAGAAAGGTCCCGTGTACATAACAACAGAACAACCAAGCAGGATGATCAGACGAATATAAAAGGTACTGAATTTGCCACTTGATTTGGTAATAACAGCAGTTAATTAAAAGCATGCTTCACATGGCTTTTAAAGAGTCAAACATGAAGCTTTTCGATGAATCTACTCTGTAATGCCTTGTCTATCTTGTAAAGGGCGATTATACTTGTATTATGCAAATCTGTCACCATAATCCCCACATATTACTGTTAATGGTCCCAATAGTTTCCAATCAAGGGCTCGTTTTTATTGTACTTAATTACACATAAACTCAATTAAATACCGAAAGAAAATGCACCCACAAAAGGAGATATAAATAAATAAATAATTAGTTCAGCAATGATTAACCTGCGGTGATGTATACTCCAGACAAACGATTAAACCAAGAGACTATTTTCGTGTACTTTGAGCATTAAACTAAGAAACTATTTTCGTGTACTTTGAGCGGGGAGAGAGAGAGAGAGATAGAGAGAGAGAGAGAGAGAGAGAGAAATCTAAATGTCAGCAAAGCTTTGTACTATAGAACGAACCTATTGATGATAATACCAGCAATTTGGAAACTATTGATTAATATATAATACCAGCAATTTGCAGAATGGCTATCAACAGATAACATTGAAAACAACAACAAACAGAATTAAGTATCACAGTCGTCGTGCAGAAAAAAATATGAAACGGCAATAAAATTGAATGCTGGGAGATCAGAAATACCTCAGTGATTTTTTTCCTTTTATTTTTCTTATCTTCTCATAACTGAATGGGCAGAAAATCTGATAATACCGAAATAAATAGCGTCTCAAACAGTCAAACTAATAATGTAAGAATTAGGAGTTGAATATGAGTCCCGCTTGGACTCCTTTGGATCAAAGGATAATGACGTCAAAGCAAACAATTATTACTTCTTGGAATATTTCAAGAATGCTCGGCCGGAATATGTTCTTCAATTTTCAATTATTAATTGTTTTTTTAAAATATTATCCATTTCAAGGTAGTTACTAGATAATAGTTATCCATTGTCCCACGCAGAAAAAAATAGTAAAATATTATATTTATCCATCCCTAGTCAATAGATTCCCCCAATCTACGAAAAAGAGATGCGTTGTAATAATGATTAAACAAGTACCTCATATTGATTAGTTAAAATATATACTATATATATTGAATTTAAAAAAAAAATGTAAGTGAGAATTTTTTTATTTAAATTTTAAGTACTTTTAAAGAATTGCATAGCTATTTATATAAAATAAGGCTTTTCAATTGTAGGTCTCTTTTATATTATAATAATATAATTAACTCATATATAATGAATTTATAAATTAATTTTTTAATTGATATATAATTTTATTAAATTCTAATTAATGATGAATTTTTTTTTATATAATTTTATTAAATTCTAATTAATGATGATATATAATTTTATTAAATTCTAATTTTATTAAATTCTAATTAATGATGATATATAATTAATAATTGATATATAATTTTATTAAATTCTAATTAATAGATGATTAGTTTTATAATAAACAAATATAAAATTATTTATTTATATATACAATATGAATATCAAATCAAATTTTTTTTTTCGAAACGATAGAAACATTATAAATAAAAAAGCACAAAAGTGCGAAAATACAGCAGCCAACAGCTGGATACACATCAGCCAACAACTGAAAAAAGTGGGAGGACAAGTCAGAAGACCGCCTAGAATCCCGATTAGCAACGCTAGAAAAAAAAACCACACACTACTAAACTAGCCAACAACACAAACAACTAAAACAACTACAAGACCCCAACAGGGTGATACCCAAGTGTCGGACCCCAACAGGGTAATACCCGAGTGTCGGACCCCAACAAGGTAATAAGGTGACACTCGGGCGCACAGAGGTCAACACACATAACAAACACACTAAACACACACTAAACATAACAAACACACACTAAACAAAACGAGACTAGACAAAACAAAACAACAACGAGAGCCCTTCCCACAACGGAGAGCCACACCGAGCACAACAATGGCAGAGTCGCAGCCCAAGATCCCAACCCAGAAACTGCAAGAGAACGCTTAACTGAATCGAAGACCCACGGGTTGGCCCAAACCTTCTTCCAGGCGAACAACCCCACTGCCACCCGGAGAAAATTGCACCCAGCCAATCAGTCAAAATTAGCCCGGCGATTGCCGACGACTCCGAACCATAAGCAAAGCAGCTCAGCTCGTCAATCGCCGACAACAACGCCTCCACAACACATCCCCGACCCAACGATCGCTGATGACCCCTCCTTCTACGCTCAGCCCCAAACCCCGCAATTGTCGACTACCCCGAGTCTCGAGCAGCCCAACAATCGCCAACAACCACTCCTCCAAATCACAGCATCAACCCTGCAATCGCCGACGACCACTTAAACAAGCCAAGAAGAAACAAATTGACCGGATCCCTTTCTCCCCCCAAACCCTAAATCGGAAATTGGGGTCGCAGCCCCTTCCAAGAGAGCGCCAGAGGGCAACCGAAATGGAGATACCGAAGGAGGACCATCCACCCGCAACTCACTCCCGACACCGGATGCGGAAGCTGGAAAGCAGGCACGACCGTCTCCCCGGCGAAAAAGCTCCCCCTCCCATGTGCGGCACTACTCTCGGAAACGGGATGCGAGGCTCAGGAGAGCCACCACTATGCACTCGTCGCGCCCTACTGGGGAAGGTGACTGATTACCGACGAGAACTGCGAGCGACGAGAGAAATTTTTTAGAGAGAAAAAAAAAACTCCGGCCTAATGTATTTGTAGTTGAATCAGGGCTTCTAGCTACAGCCTAGTCCAATCAAATGATGATTACTTTGATATATTATATATGAATATTGAAAATAAATACAAAATTTATTATATAATATGACATATTGATAATAAATACAAAATTTATTAAATTTTAAATATATTCTTAATTTAATAAGTGAGTACAATATTTTATAATTTTAGAAGTAATAGAATCCATATCTTAAAATGTTAAAATGTTATTATTTTAAAATATTAAAATTTTATTTTTGATATATATATTTTTTAAGAATATACTATTTTTTTACTTAAAAAAGTACGACTGTACAGTACCATTAGCCTTATCTATAGTAATATAAAGAGGTTGTTGGAAAAATACTTAAATAGTAACTTTGACTTAAAAAATAAAGTGTTGACTTACTCATATAAGTAATATTCTACAACCCACACGCCATAATGATTTTTAAGAATTTTGGTAAATCTTTTAGCCAAAAATTTGGTAAGGAGTTCAAATTTCTTAGCATTTTTTTTGTAACCACCTTCACAACATGATCGGATTCTTTTTAGATTTTTTGTTTTTTTCTAACAAATTTCATAATTATTAACACAAAATCTCTTGCAATTTTGGTAAATCTTTTAGTTAAAAATTTGGTAAGGGGTTCGAATATTTAGCATTTATTTTTGTAACAACCTTCATAATATGATCAAATTCTTTGGGGATTTTTTTTTTGTTTGTAACAAATTTCATAAATATTTACACAAAATCTCTTGCCGAAATTTTGTAATGAGTTCGAATTTGTTAGCATTATTTTTTTAACAACCTTCACATTATGATCGGATTTTTTTAAGATTTTTTTATAACAAATTTTACAATTATTTACACAATCTCTTGCCGAAAATTTGGTAACGGGTTCGAATTTTTTAGCATAATTATTTTTGTAACAACCTTCACAATATGATTGGATTATTTGGGCTTTTCATTTTAACAAATTTCATAAAAAGGTTGTTGAAATAATACATAAGTAGTAATTTTGACTTAAAAAATAAATGGCTGACTTACTTTTATAAGTAACAAATTAAAACACACACGTGATAAATGGTTCAAAAATTGGATATTTGGATTGTATACTGCCAAGTTATTTTATTTGGTAACTAAATTGATCCTATTATTATTTCTCCTAATCCATGTGAATCTCTTTAAAATTAAAGATTTTTAGGTTTTCAAAACTCAAATCAATAAATATACGATAAAATTGGAAAGCATTTGAATTTGAAAAATGTGAGATTTGAATGTAATACACATATTAAAAAACGTATCAGTACATTTTTTGTAAGCAAATCAAATAATTTTGGTAAATTAAATTCAAATCAATTGATATCCCATACATAATTTGTATATATTTAATTGAAAGTGCTTATTTAATCGAATTTTGTATCTTATTTTCTTTTTGGAAAAATAAAATAAATTTATATGTAAAAACCAATTTATCTCATTTTTTTATTAGTTTATCAGATCTATTATGAAATGACATGCAATTTCATATTTCTGACGGGATATCCTCACGCCGATTTTGTATCCTTTTTTTATTAATAGATTTAATGTTTTTTTTAATTCAAGTTTTTTATATTTCAAACACAATATACAACACATTTCTATTCATTTTTTTTTTCTTTTAACAAAATTAGATAAATTTTTTGTTTGATGTCAATCCAAATCCAACTATTTAGGTAAATAAATTCAAATAAAATTAAAATCCAAATGCAAATCATTTCAAAATTGGTCATCTTTTTTATTTTTTTAATGAATTAATTTTGGGATGCACATTCGGTGCATACATGCTATGATTTTTTTCAAGTAATAGTGATACACTCCCAATATAACTCTTTTAAGCAACTCTTAATACACATTAAAAATATTTGCTAATAATTATCTTCCGTAAAGTGATCCCCTTTCTATTTCCTACCAAAATCCGTTTAAATCTATAAAAAATGGCATATTTTTAGGTTTTGAAAATTCAAATTAATTGATATCCCATAAAAATTGGCAAGTTTTTAGGTTATGAGAATTCAAATCAATTCAAATTTACTATTAGACATGGCCAAAACTCGGCCGACGAGTTGGATTTCATGGACCATGGCCCGGTGGGCCGGACCGGGCCCGACCCGGGTGTGGCCATTCCAAATAAAAAAAAAAAGAAATAATTTTTTTAGAAACTATGTGTTCTTTCTGTGCCGGATAAAAAAACCTGGCCTG